AAATGTGAATGAAATTCCACATGCGCATCATCCCCCAGTTATTCAATTGTCAGTCCATCTAGAAAATGGACAGAGGATATACTTTAATCAAAGTAATACTGCAGATAGAATTGCAAATCAACAATCAGCAACTTTGATGGCTTCCTTCATAATGTATCGAACTGATGATTTTGCAAGAACCCTTTTTATGTTGACATTCCCAAATATTACACATGGAACACTAAAATTAACATCTTCAAAAGATGAGTAAAGGGGAAAATAGTTCCATGCTACCAGGGCACAAGAAAAACTGAAGTTTTGGGCAGGGTGTACACAGTGAATCCAAATCAATTTGAATGCTTCTGTTTGAGACTTCTTCTACATTGTGTTAGAGGAACACAGAGCTTTAATGACCTGAAAAGTATCAATAGTCACGTTCAGAACATTTTCAGGGATGCACATATTGCACTCCTTGAGGATGATAACCACTGGCATGCTACATTACAGGAAGCATCTATATCGGAATCGTCAAGTAAACTGAAATTTTTGTTTAACATCATGTCGACTACATGAGCAGTGTCAGATCTAAAACAACTTTTAGATGCACACAAAGAATCCTTAAGCGATGGTTTTCTTCTTCATGAACGCAACAAATATCCTGGAATTGATACACAGTTTTCCTATGTCATCTTCAATATGGCTCTGATTGATTGTGAAGATATCACTTCTCATATTAATGGCAAAACACTTACAAATTTGGGTCTTGATTCACCTGATCGAACTTATACACATCATGTCAATAATGCATGGATGCACAAAATTGGTTATCAGCCACACCAGCAAGAAGAAATTGTTCATGATGGTCTCACACATCTCAATAATGATTAGAGACTTGTGTATCATGCTGTACTTGATTGTGTAAAAAACCCAGCAAGGTGGTCTTATATTCCTTGATGCACCAGGAAGTACAGGAAAGACATTTGTTACTAAGTTGATTATTGCCAAAATGAGATCAAAAGGCAAAGTAGCTGTGGCTGTAGCTTTCACTGATATTGCAGCCACTCTACTTCCTGGTGGTAGAACAACACATTCAACATTTAAATTGCCATTGTCCTTAACCAGAGACGATAACACAATTTGATAAATACATAGTGGATCAGATTCTGCAAAAGTTTTACAAAATTGTTCATTGATTGTATGGGATGAATGCACAATGGCACATAAAAAAGCATTTGAAGCTCTAGATAAGACATTGCGTAATCTCAAGACGTGATGGGTGGCATTATACTTTTATTATCAGGTAACTTCTGACATACACTTCCAGTTGTTTCACATGGAAACCCCGCTGACAAACTCAATGCTTGCATTAAATTATCATATTTGTGGAAGGACATCAAGACAGTAATGTTAAATATTAACATGCAAGCCTATCTTAATAGGAACCCAATGGTTGCTGAATTTGCATCTCTACTACTGAAAATAGGAGATGGCAAGATTGCTAAGAGCGACCATGTCAACATTGTAATTCCTCAAGGATTAGTATCAGTTGTTTCTTCAAGTGAAGAACTGAGGAACAAGGTGTACCCAAATATAGCAGAAAACTATGTGAATTATTAATATATATATAAACAGCAACTCTCAAGAAAGATGAGTAAGTCATTTTTTCCACAAGATCTTTCTTTTTGCAAAAACTAGAAAAGCACTTAAATTTCATTGGTTACTCAGTAGTGACATTATTATTAGTAAATAAAAAATATGTAATAATAATAAATATAAATAAAATAAAGCAAACAACATTAAAACTTTGTTTAAAATAAAATAAATAAAACTAAAATAATAAAAGTTCTCCCAGCGTGCAACAGAAAACTTTTCCTGCGTGAAAATGGATACTTTGTTCCCCAAAATGCTGAACTCACTCTCTTCACTATGGACCCTCAAAGAGTTAAGATGACTTTATTCCTCTATTACATGCAACCTTAAAACACATAATTAAAATACACACACACACCAGTACACAGAAATAAATAAAATTATATGATTTTAATTTACAATTTAACATGCTTTTAGTGTTATTTTCTTGTATATTTTATTTCTGTGAACATGAGGCTCTCCCTGCTGGTATGATGTGAGTGACCTCAAAACTTTAACAACTTATCTGCTGATAAGTAAGAACAACACATTTTTGTTTTTGTCTCCAAGACTGGTTTTTAACTTTTCAACTGGATGATGCAAACAAAACTGTTCCTGCAAGTTTAATTCACAATTACCACTCTGTCAAATTTAATCCTTTTTTGTTTTTAAATCCTGTTAATATATTAAGTGTCAATGAAAAAAACATATCCTTCTATTACCAAAACAGATTTCTAGTAGTTACTGCTTGAGCATTTCATACTGCTGACTCCTTGGCATATCAGTCCCTAATTGGCCCATCTTCCAGTGAAGACACATCTTAGTCTCTGGTGGTTTTTGCTATCTGAGTCTTATTTTCTGTCTCTAAAGAGGGGTGATGGACTAATCAGACCGAAAACATCATGCACATAAAAAATGTTTCAAGCAATAATTTTAAATTTCTCTTATCACTTCCTCCTTGTCTGAACACTTACAAAAAATGCAGTAAGATGTTTCGAACTCCACATGCCCCCAGACTAGTAGGCATGAAGTAGTCCACAGGAGAGATTTCCACCAGTTATGCAGATAAAGATTGCAACCAACCAACCAACCAACCAACCAATAGTAGATGTTCAACTAGAAGAGCATAGTGATGAAGGAAATACCACTGGCAATGGTTAGGAATGTTATACTCCACTGCAATTAGATCTCTTTCCGATTCACTCTGCATGTTAGCCAGATCTGTTCACCAGGAGGGCAGAACACAAAATAAAAAGGTTGTTTTCTGTGCATAGTCCCTGCAATGAAAGTGCTACAGTAGCCAATCATGAACATTCCTGCTGGAAAGAGAGATTACCTTTGGGACTGCCAAATTTGCTTAAAAGCAGGCCTCTTGTAACAACCAACACAGCTGCAAGCCAAAAGGCCAGCTGATGACACACAGGCATGTATGCTTTCATTATCACTGCTATGACTGAAGTAACCCTGTTTTGTTCATACTACATTCAACGACCAGCTACGGGCTTATCAGCTACACCTAATCCCTTATCATTCTTGGGAACCAACACATCCTACCACAAATCAAATAACCACCACCAAGACCTCAATTAATCAACACACCAACCCAGGTAGATCAGCTCCAACATCTCAGCATTAAGAATGTCAATTTCAACATTAAAGAAAGGCATGCAACAAGCCACACCAATGGCTAATCCACTCCGGATCTATCCTGTGACCTTGGCCAAACCAACCCAAGAAATCCATCAACTCCTAGCACTATCAACAAAACCATAGACCTAATCACTTTCCTGACAAGCAACAACCAAAAACAACATATTAACAATTTTTGTTGATTTTCTAAAATCTTATGTATATATATATATATATATATACACATAAGATTTTAGAAAATCAACAAAAATTGTTAATATATAAATTTGTTAAATATACATTTTATATATATATATATATATATATATATATATACACACATGAAATGTATATTTAACAAATTTTATGGTATCTGTCTATATTTCAGAGATGGTGTTTAAAACCTAATCCTTGTTATTCCTTTCTTTCGTAGCCAAATGCTCATTATAACAGGAAGATAAAGTACCAATAAAGTATAATGTACAAACATTTAAGAACACAACTTATAAATGTTGTCATTTTGCATGCAGACAACAATTGTTTTTTTAAACTTGTGTCTATGTTCATCAGTTCATTTTGATGAACACAAAATCTGCTCTGAAAAGTGGTCTAAGCAGAAGTTACTTAGAAGAAGCAAATGGAGTTTGTCATTACAAACAAAGACTATTCCACAAAATATGATTCATTTTTATGTATTGTGATAAATACTTTTTGGCTTCATCTTTTTCATTATATCATTTTATAATTTGATATAAATGTATTTGCCAAGATTATTTAGTATATAAAAGATGAAAACTATACATGATATAACTTGCAGGTAAATATATATATATATATATATATATATATATAGGTAAATAATGCAATAAAATGGTTTTTGAAGCATATATTGGGTACAACAGAAATTAAAAAAGGAATGAGATCAATAGGAATGAGAACAACTGTTGGAAAATTATAAGCATTTTCTGATTAGTTATTTACATTATTTACATGTAAACCATCATCCTCATCTTTGTTGTTAGCACAATGTTTTAGCTCTTGCGCCCTCCAGCCTTCATTAGGTGATTGTAAATCCATGTCACCTTCAGGGAATTTTGAACTGAATCTTTTATTTAATCTACTGGGGTAGACTGTTCTCGTTCCACTGTCCATGCCTGGGGACATCTTGTCTAGCACTTATTTAGTACTGCTCAGTTATTTCTTGTTCCATTTCCACTGTTCAAGTCTGCACTGCGTGATCAAGAGATTGAACTCACAATTACTAAAACACCACATTCACAAACCAACACTTTAATACACTAAATTATTGTCCTGTGTGGCAATCTTGAATGTAGAATTTGGAGCCGTAAACCTAATCTATCTGCTGCTTGTCAAACTTGACTGCATTCAATAAAATAAAGGCTTTCATTTTGAAATTCTGAAAGTTTACCTGGATCAACAAGCCATGAAGGCCAGAGGGCATAACAACCAAAATGACGTGATAATAACAACAAAGATCAGGACAATAGTTTGCATGCAAATAATAACTCCTCATTCTAGAAATTAATTCAGAATAGTTATTCTGGCTTTAAAATCAAGCTGTAAGTAAAGCATAAAAAAGTTGTGATAACTTCCTCTCCTATCTACTATAATAAAAGATTGCTACTACAGACAATACACTGTCTAAAGCAAAATGTATCTGCACGATAGTTTTCATGTGAAAATAACACATATGAAAATAGATGAATGAAAAATCAAAAATGAGTTATTAAAAATAAATTTACCATCTCTTATAAATTCCCAGCTTTTCCAGATCGATCCAACACATACAATATGAAGACCTCCTTTACAAATTAACAATTCCTGAATAAGAGAAAAAGACAAGCAAAAGATAATTTCATCAACAATATGAGTTATGCTCTTCTTTTGAGATTATGAAATAAAGTAATTTCACTATAAAAATTATTTTCATTAGTTTCCTATGTTTTTTTTATTACAACATTCTTAAGCCAATCCATTCTTTAACGATTACATTATAGGAATTTAGAATAAGTGTCATCTCATCCCCACTTACTCCCACAAAATAAGGATGTTACTCTACACCTAGGCTACACCTGATGCTTGCATGGTTTTGCTGTTGATTGGTATGTACAGTATATACTATGTTGCTGTTTCTAATTTTTAGTAGAATAAATGTAAGAAAACTGATCAAATGACTAATGTATTCTTCTTTAATGTTTTTGTATGAAGTAATGTCTAACAAGAGTCTAATCTTAAAGTTATTCTAATTGGCCTTGTAAATGAAAGTAATATTTATTAGTGATTTTTAGTTTTGAAATCTCATACCATAATATTTAATAGACAATTACACAATTTAACTCTAAACATCCTAAGCAGATTCAATTCAGATAAACAACATCAGTCATCTCAATTTTCATTTGCTTTGCATGTCATTGTTGAGTTATAAAATTTACAAAGTTAAAATACTAAAAGGATGTTATAAAATTTTTTATTAGTTAATAATACAAAATAGTAACAAAAAAATGTAAATAAACAAAGTAATAAATATAATTGTCTTAGTTTTTCTGATATACATACTTTTTAGAGAAGTATATTTTAAAGAAAGCCAGATAGTATATGAAAAAATCATTATATTTGTTTGTAAAAATTCCTATTTGTAGAATTGGCTGTTAAAGAACTTCCAAAAGTGTGGGTTACACCCAAATAAATTTGAAATTAAGGTTTACCTAAAAGCCCTTCAATTGTTATATAAAGAGAAAGGCCAGCAGATAATCTTCAGAAGGTAATCAACTTTCAAAGCAGGAGATCAAAGTTTCAATGAGCAACCAAGGCAGAAGACGAAGGGATACAAAAATTTCATACTGAAGACAGAATGATAAACATACATAATGAACTGAAACCTGTGTTCTAATAAAAATAAATTGTAAAAAGCCCCCATTACACCAGTGGGTTTGAAATTGCCAAAACTACCTTTGTTCTGTGATTTTTTTTCATCTTTCAGTTAGGTGTGTGCATTTTTGCAAAGAGTATTTTCTGTTTTTAAACAAAATCTGTATTACCTTCTCGAAGTTTTCTTCATTTTTCGAAGATTGTTTTGAAATCTTTCATGATTTATATATTTTTGATGTTATGTGCCTCAAAGTACAATTATATGTAAGCCTATCGTATAAAATATTGTAATTTGATATATTGTTTTGTAATAAATGTTTGTTCGTTTAAATTTCATGCCATAGTTTTGAGCCTTGTTTGTATGTGCCTTTGTTAATGTTCAGGATAAGAGAAAGTCATTCCCTCTTCTTCCATTTACTTCCAGGAAAAAATTATTTTATTATTTGCCACTACAGAGAAAGTGATGTTTGTGGGTTGAATTTTCAAAAAAAATATTTTAACTTAGAATTAATGTAAAAATATTGTCACACATGTTATAACAAAAAGAAATTAAATTTATTACCTCATCTATTTTTGGAACCAAAGCATTAACATGTTTGGCCAATATTTTTCCAGCATCATTGAAGATATGTAAACAAAGAGGATCTCCTCCTTTGGCACCTAAACAAAAAAAAAAGTTTGTATCTCTAAATGTGATTATACAGTATTTTAAAGAAATAATAACTTAATTTCAACTATTCAAGTATTAATCTTTAAAAAGGACTAATTACATTTTAAAGATGATCTCTGAACACTCTGATTAAGGAAAAAACCTACAAGATTTAGAGTAGTTGGACATTCAGTGAAATGATAAAAGGAAATCTTCAATTAATAAGTAAAACAATCATTAGATAGGGAATTTCAAAGTTAAAAATGGAATAATATTAGAGAAACATGAATAGATGTTATATATAAACATTCTATTGTAATTTTCTACACTTGAAAAACCTTTCAAAAAATAAATAAAATAATATTCAGTGGAAAATTGAGTAATTGTGCAATTTTATCAAAAGGCAAAATAAACAAGCTTTACTGTGATATAATTTAAAATAGTTTATAGTAATTTAAATTTATTGTTTATATTGATTTTATATTACAGAGAGCTTGTAATTATTACAAAATTGAATTAAAATGTGATTTTTGTTTAATAATAAGAGGACTGAACAGTTTTTAATAAAATTGCTTTGACTATAATCTTTACAGAAGTAGTTGATATTGTTAAAGAGAATTAATTATAAATAGAACTCTTTATATTGAATCTTCTACCAAAAGTCAGCTCTAAATGATGTAGAAGTTCTTATTTTAGATTTATGTGTTTAATATAATAACAAAATAAATAAGCTGTAGTAGATTAACAAATAATCTCTAGTAAAATTATTGAAAGTGATTATTTTTATTATATGTTTTATTATTTCATTATCTATTTTTTGTTGCTTTTTATCATCTTTTTAGTTGATTTATTCTTCAGTCATTAAATTCAACTGAAAGAATTTAGTATAGACAAAACTTACTCACATTTCAGAGGATCAGGTTTTAATGAAAATATCTTAATGAGACTAAAAATTTATCATGACTAAGCAGAATTCTCATCCTGAGATTTTCTGTCATTCTCTCGTCATGCACATTGTTGATTATGTAGTAATAGTGAGATTAATAACATTATATGGTTGTTTTGAGATGCTAAAAGGAAGCATTTTCCTTATTGTACATATTAGCATGGTAACCATCAAAAATCTTATGGGATTATTTACCTATAGAACAGAACTTCTACCTAGGATCAAACTATATTTACACTGTTTAGAATCAGACTGTGCACTTTGTGAAAAGTGTTTTAATATATATGAATTTTACTGATATTTTTTTCTATTACATTTTTAATTTGGAAACCTAAGGAAAGACTTTGGAGGTATGAGATTAGAGTTAGAGTCCCATCTAAAGTTATTTACTCTGAATTTCTTAATATCAGAGCTGAAAAATATAGCAGCAAAAATAAAAAAAACAAAACAAAAGCAATAATAATGAAAATAATTAATTTCAGACTAATTGAAATATTGTCCTTTATTTTTTACTACCTTAAAAGCCATGGCATTTAAGCTAGCTCGTATGGAGAGTTCTCTTGATTAGGCCTTCATCAGGTAGAGAGGAGTAGATGGGATAGGCAACAATAAACTACAGAAGAACTCAAAATTGATTGCTGTATTTAAGTACTCCATTAATATTTAAACTTACTTTTTAAAAGGTCAACAATAATTCTTCTGCCACCACTTAATTTAAAGAAAATTTGATGTACATAGGTTCTTACTTTCTGTACAAACAATTATTTTTATTTCATGGGTGTTATCATACATAAAAATTTGTTGCCAAAAATCATGTAAAAAAAGAAAAAATATATATATATATTGCCAAAAACAATCACAGTAATTTCAGGATTGCATGTCCATATCCAGCCTGGAATGTTTTTAATTTGCTCATGGAGTCAGCCTGATTCCAAAATGGTATATGTTGGGCTACGGCCTCTAGGAGTAAAGTTGAAAACATGAACAATTTTATTTTATCTGTAATTTGAGAACAGTAATTTTTTCATTTGAACATGAGCTATTGAAAGTTAAAAGAGTTGTGCCCCTTTAATTGTTTTTATCAGTAGAAGCCAAGATGGCAGAATCTGAAAACAATTGCAATAACGAAATCCAAAATTTCAGGATTGCATGTCCGGATCGAGACTGGAATGTTTTAATTTACTCACAGAGTCAGCCTGATTCCAAAATGGTATGATATGTTGGGCTTTGACTTCTAGGAGTAAAGTTGAAAAAATGTGAGACACTGACATTCACATTTATTATATAGATGAGCTTTATTTTAACTATCACCCTTTGAATATGTGGCATAAAATTAATCATAAGATTTAGTTATTTAGTAATACACCTTCAATGAAACTTATAGTATTGATTAGAATTTTAGTGCAAAGGATGAAAGTAACTGAAAAATATATTCTGGTAATTAATACTGATTATTTACAAGTAATTTTCAAAGATACTTCTGTCCATAAAGCAGTAACACAGTAATATATATTCTGAAAACGATTGACCTTAAAGCAAGCATACAATGTTCTATAAACTGTATATAGAACATTGTATGCTTGTTTTAATAGTCAATCATTTAGTGGTCAAATTTAAGATAAAACAAAAAATTTATTTGAAGACTGAGAAAGTTAAACTCCTCTAAGTAAATGTTTTATTCAGTTCATACCTTTTACAATTTCAAGACAAAATCCAGCAATTTTTGATTTCTCAAAGTCAGAGTAAATATAATGCAACAAGTTTGCTTTGTTGTCAATCTGCAACAAATAAAATATTTATTTATTATAATATTAAATATAAAAAAAAAATAAAGGTAAGGGTCAAATTATTGTAAATTTATTTCTTTAATTTTATTTTTATCATAAAATGTTACCAGAGAATTCAATTTAATTTTTCCAAATAATATTTTTGTATTTTTTACATTGCTTATTTTTTATGGATTTGTTATACAGAGTGTGATGAGTAAATTGCAGCCATTTTATATTTTTAATTTTGCACCTGCACGTTGTTTGTTTTTGGTTTGTTGGTGAGGGTCTCAGACTCAATGCAGAGACTTACATCATGCCTTGAGGAGCTAGTCCTGCCCTGGGTCAAGAGAGTAGCTGCTGGAAGGCACTATGTCTGGCAACAGGACTCTGCACCATGCCACACAAGCAGGAGAACCCAGTCATGTCTGTCAGACAATTTCTGTGACCACATCACCCTTTACATAACTCTCCAGACTGCAACCCCCTTGATTATTATGTGGGGGGCACAGTTGAATGAGAGTCCAACAAAACTCCTTGTAATACCAAAGATGAAAGCAAGGATTATGGAAGCATTCACCAACTTAAACAAGGAGACTGTCCAGAAGAGATGCAGGAGATTCCAAAGTCATCTGAAGGCTGTGGTTGAAGCCAATGGGGTTTTTATTAAATAAATTTACTCTTTAGTATTTCAAGATATTTTATGTAATTTTTGTAAATATATCTGTTAGATGTCAATGTTATTATCATTTTTGTGTAACTTAGATGACAATTTATCCAGTGCATTCTGTATATACAAATTGCTACTCATGCAAAAAAAGATTAAAAATAATTTTTCAAATCAATTTTAAATAATTTTTTAAATTATTGATAATATTCCTTCAATTAAATTAATATTATACACTAAATCATGACAGTATGAAAATCTTTTTTTGCTGACCAATAATCTTCTGAACTCAAATTCCTTTGAATTAACTCTGTAAGAAATTTTTTTCTGTAAATCTAAACATTAAAGTCGACAAATTAATACCTAAGTTAAACATTAGACACTTCTAAATGCTTTTAATAAAATACTTATAAGAACAGAGACATATATATGTAGCAAGAGATTAACTTTATTTAAACAGTTCTTAAAACCAAATAAAATTATTAACTTTTAACACATTTATAGTGTTACAAAAATGATCTTACATTGAAATATTTGAGCATAGCATCTTTGACATAGGTCACATCATATGGGCAAACTTCCATGTTGTCTTCATGATCAAAATAGGTTTTTATTGCTTTTAATGCAATCCAGTAGCCTAAAGGATAAAATATGGATTTTAACAGTATATCAGTTCTTACATTAAATAATTTGAAATGGCTTTTTACATTCAGAATGCTTTAAAAATTCCATTTACAAGACATTTGTTTATAATAAAATTCTATTCATCAATCGATAGACTCATAACGATTGTAAACAATGTTTTTGTTTGAGTTTGGGTTTGACCAATTCGTAAACAAAAAAGAAAACACTAATTAAGACATGCGTGTCCGTCAACCTTAAACAATAATCTTTGTCAATTTTATTTTTCAGTCTTTATGATGGTCGATACTTGATCTATCTCTTACTGTTATATCCCCAGGCAACGCCAGGCTCTACTGCTAGTTCTTAATATTTTGAAGATTACAAAAAAAAAATTAAAAAAGACATTTTCTTATTTACAAATATATCTCTTAGAAGCTTACAAACTACCTCTGTTCTGTATTAGACTCGGGCAAATAGGTGGCAGATTTTGCAATGCGTGAGTGTGACCATACATTTTTGTATTGTTTCCATTTGTTTATGTATATAGATATATTTATTAGATTTTGGCTGTTGTATATTATTCCAGCATTCATCAGGTGTCTGTTGATCTGGATAATAAATACTATATATCTGTGATTTTTTTTCAGTGCCAGATGAAACCAGTTTTACTAATCTTGCTAAAATCCTGGTCACCATATCTCCTCACTATCTTATGTATTTGGTATTCTGTGTTTTTTCTGTTTGATCACAAGTTAATACTTTGTGCAGAATTTTAAATTAAGCTGTAAACAAAGACCACACATTACAAAACAAAGGAGTTTAAGGAGATTTAAGTGACATGAATTGATACATGAATTTAATGTTCTTGTTACTTCTTGTAGACATGTTATCAAAGTTGACTCATTCCACCACCATTTTTTTTATTATTTGCTGTAGTCTTGTTATACAACTCAACTCTCTCCAGAACACTTTTAAATTATTTACTGTAGCATTGTTATCAAATTTGACACAACCCACCACCATTTTTATTATATTATCTTGCATAGTATTTATTACCCAGACTGCCAGTCACCAGGAGAGAACCAGGGAATACAATGGCCAAAACACATTAACATAAGGCTTACTGAAAATATTAAAAGCCATGATAACATCTCATCCCAGAAATTTAGACAGGAAAAAAACTGATGTGAGTGAGCATTGAGTTTCATTGGTATTTGTTTCCCTAATGATTACCAATTGTTCCCAGTCTTAAATGTATATAAGCCCCAGTAGATGTATACTAATCTGAACCAAATCAAAAAATGCCTTCTGACAGTTTGTTTACTCTCATGACTCCATGTTTTGCGATGGAATAAATTCATTGTTGGAAAATTGGGAACAGCATCAATTCTAATTATGCTTATTTTAACAAATAATATTTTACTTAAGGTGGAGTCTGATGTTTTTTTAAGTCCATAGTCCAAAACATTTTTTTTATTCTAACCTGATACATAAATAATGGGTTATAAAATAAATGATTTCAATGAGAAGTATGAAAGAAAAATAAATTCTTTTTGTCAAAAGAAAAAATGTAATATAAGTTGTGAATGAAACTAGTTAAAAGTAGAATAATGAAAACCAACATCACTTCCTTTCCTTATTCAAACTTGTGTGCTGTTTATTTTGGTTAAAAAAATTATTTCTATGGAAAGGATCTCTTGCTCTCACTGTTTTTTTCTGTTGTACACTTCGATTGGCCAAAAAAATATGATAACTACAAAAGCAACAAAAAAGAGGTTCAATAATCAAAATAGCTAATACTAACTTTTCTAAAAATTTAAACTGGGTTGACTAAAATGTGGTAGAGACAAATGCAACACAAATAATGAATTCAAATAACTCTTGAATTGAAAATGACTTTACAAAATTATAGACAATTAACAACAAATTTAGATTACAAAAATCATTTCAAAGTTTAACAATTTATAAATAAATCAAATTTATGTAATTTTGTAAAATGAATTGTGTAAAGAAATTTGAGCTAATTATATTTGCTTTGAAATGCAATATTTTTTCCATAAAGAAAATATTTTTTAACTTAGTTTGATTGTCAATTGAAATTTTGAAAGCTGAAAATTAACATTATATTGAAACTTAAACTTAAGTAGATTAATAATTTGTAACAAAACTTATTTTTCAGAGTATTTAAAAATAACTATAAAGGTATTCTGAAAAACTTGTGTTTTAACCTGAGCCTTCATCTCCTAATAAATGGCCCCAACCTCCACATCGATGCATTGTGCCATCACAATTGATCAACTGACAATTAGAACCAGTACCAGCAATCAGCACAATTCCACCTGCAAGTTAAAGAAAAAAAAAATTATGTGAATATAGCTCATTGATAAAGTCATATTAAAGCACTACAAAATATGCTTGAAATAATTGCAAGGTTGTTTTATGACATTTGCTGGATACAATAGCTTAACAATAAAAAATTGCTTAAAGCTTATAACTATTGCTAAACAAAATAGTAAAACTCAGTAGGCTTTATTTCTTGTATGTTATTTAGCCAAAATTTAATATCTGTCTTGTTCTAGCCTAATGAAAAAACTCAAATAGAACATTAAATTTCAATTTAAAATTGTTCAAATAAATGAAAAAAAAAAACATTTAAATAGAATAAAATGGATCAATATACAGACATGCAAATTTCAGATTCATAGGCAAAAATCTTTTGACAAAATTTACCTTTATCTGTGGCAGTATACATTGCACATTGTGTATCACTACAAGCATAAATGCTTTCTGTTAAATGACCATAGTTCTGGAAAATTTCAGATGTTAATTTCTCTTGGGTATCTTTTTCATCTCCTCCACTCAGTGACAAGCCCTGTAATTAAACCAAAAAAGTTATTCAAATAAGATAAAGGATAAACTTTAACTGAATAAATATCAGACAAAGCTGCTTTACATACCATGTATTTTTTATTAGAACTTACTGGGCCTCTCCATAAATATACTTATTCTAGAAGCATTATACACTAGGGTTTTAAAATGATCTTCAGATAAAATGATTTAATTTTGCTTAAAATTTAGAGTTATGTAATATTTTAATACTTACCAAACCCTTCAGTTTTACTTCAGGACCAATTTCAGCTGCAATTTTAACTTTCATTATCATTTTATCAACTTGCTTCAGACATTCATCAAAACCAATGAGCTAAAAATAAATAATTCAAGACTCAAAAATCCATACAATGAATTAGGCTTACAGATATTTTCAGTACAGCATAATAGACCTTAAAATTACAATAATCAAATCATGACTCAAAAATACTCACAACAAAATGAAAAATGTTATTGTTCATGTTTAAATGTTATCATAATTTAAAAAACTTTAATTTATGATTCTTTTAAGAGAAAAAGATTAATGTTATTAGGTTGTCCAGGAAATACTGACATTTTTATAAGAGTTTAAAAAAGAAAATTACAAGTGATTACATGTTTAATCAAAATAGGTTTGATGTGGTTAGACACACTATGTGTACTGTAAAAAGCATTGTTCCTGAGGGTCAATAAACTCTTAAAAAGCTTCTACTTGATTTTGAAACTATATTGTTCACAAAATAGTCAAAATTCTTAGAAAAAAATTGTAAAAAAAATCTGAAAAAATAAGACAGATGGTAAAACATGAATTCAGTTGTTTATTTTCTCATAATGGTCAATAAACATGTGTGGGAAAAATTGACTGCATGAGTAAGACACTCAGTACCAGGAAACAAGTGTTATAAATGGTACTGTGACCAGGATAGTGTGGGAGAATGAAAATTAAATAATAAATAAAATAAATAATAAACTTATAATAAAAAAATAAATAATTTAATTTTCCCACAATGCAAATGGAAATGAAAAAAAGGGTTTCTGGTCACGTGCAAAGTTTGTGACCCCACTTCCAGAAAGGAGATCATATTGCTCTTGATACTTTTGAATCATTGGATTCAGATGTGTTTTGCAGCAGTCCTAAGGAAAGAAGATTCAGTCACCCTCTCTCAACGTCATGTTGATTTGAGGTCAACCACTGTCTTTCCTCTGAGTTTAGTACACACATGTGCATCAATAAAAATTGACCCTTAATTTTCCAACAAAGTTTTTATGTTATTTATTGTGGTCCAATGACATTATCATCATCTGATACTGGACAAAAAACCAAATACCAACCCAATACACTGGTGACCCATGGATAACCACAACAACCTTAACCCAGCAATGAAACTAGCAACTAAAACTAACACTCAACATCCCTGAATAAGAGAAACCAGACACCTTGAAATGATGTTTTTGAAAAAAAGAAGCCAACAAATTGAGTGAGACTTAAAGTATATTAAGTATTCTGTCTTAAAAAATGTGAGAGACAACAGAAAAAAAATTATCATGTCTTATTAAAGAGCCTATAAAGGACTTTTGAGTCTAGTAATATACTCAAGGCTGTATCAAGTTGTATCAGGTCAGGTAAAGGTAAAAATATATTATTTTTCTCTTCTTGTTAACATTGTGCATACTGCTGAGTTGTATCATACAGGACATAATTATTGGTTAAATTGTTATGGGGTAAGTTACCAAGCTGGTCTTGCTGATCATTGCCACTGAGTAGTGAGTTCAGTTCTCAGTTGGGACCTCATACTTGTGGCTTTGTGTTAAAACTAAGCTATGTTAAAGAAATATTAAGGTATAGAGAGACAAAATAACAGTATTAGAAGATATCCCAAAGGTTTATTACAAAATTAGGTCCAAGATACTTGTTTTCTTCAAAAAGGTGCAGAGTTAAAGACATAGCTTGAGGCTCTGAAGATGGCCAAAATTTACTGGCTAACAAAAGAGGAATTGATAGCTGAGTAAATTGGTCTATATTTTGAGAGGAACAGACTAGTGAAAAGTGAAATGAGTTCAAAGGAGGCTAAAAATGCAATTTGAGGAATTTACAAGCTCAGCTTTAATAGTAATCAAAGAGAGAATGAAATCCTGGCTTCTAATAGGATACTGAGTTTAGTCAAAGTGGCAAATAAGGATGCTAAACATAACAGTACAAACACAACCGAGTTCTTTAGTGGCATGATAAGATATGACAACAGTGGAGCCAATATTGCTGGCTGGTGTGTTTGCCAAAATCAGCAGAAGTGAAAAATTATATGAAAGACTGGTTATGTTGGAATTCAATCACAAGGACAGTAAAAGGTGAAGAAAGGGTCTTAAAATGCAGGTTTGTTATAAATATGAACAATGGGGCAACTATTAGGAAAAAGGAGAGAAAGATGGAAAAAAAACCAGTAGAGAATTGTCTCTTTGTGATTGATTTTACAAACTCACACTGATTAAATACAGATTGATGTCCTGAGGATGCAAAAGGAATGAGCATAAGCAGAAGGATTGACAAAGTGAGATAACCAGGAGGTTAGAGAAAGATTTTTTCTTTCTTACAAATTTATTAGATTCTCTCCATTATTATTTGAAGACAGTATAAACAGATAAAGAATCTATCAAAGGTGTTCTACTTACAAAGTAGGTCATCTATTTGCTTACAAATGCTTTTTTTAATCTCTTTTGTTCATGTATAGCAACTTTTTGTTGAAGCATATTGAACAGTTGTTCTCTTAGAAACTATAACATAAAATAGAATCTTAATTTGGTGTTTCTTAATGTTATATTTTTTACTTTTCTAAAATGTGCTTCTTGTGAATCTATAATTTACAGCTGTATGCATACAGTGTGTGTGCCTAAATGAAAAGGCCAAAAATGCCATACTGACAGGACCTGAGATAAAAAAAAAGCGTACTAATTTTAAGATAACATATTTGCCCTTAAAATCTGTGGCTGTAAGCCATGTTAGAATAAAAATGCCACAGTGTTTCTATTTATTACATGTACAAAAGAAAATTTTTTAAATCATTATTTTCTCTTTAAATTGTTAATTATTCCGTAAGTTACCATGAGTTGAAGAAAATTGCTTGAAATATAAGCCAATAATTAAAATCATTTAACTATTCAATTATTTAAATATAATCAATTTAATTCTATCCATGGCTCTTAAAGAACAGATACTGTAAAAAAATAAAATCTATACCCATTGATTGGTGCAAGGTCCATCAGCTTCAGATAAAATGTGACCCTGAGAATCCAGCAGAAGAACTTTTGATTTTGTTGCCCCACTAAAGTAAAAGGAAAATAAAAATTATTCAAACTGATCATTTTTCAAATATTTTAATTCCATAAAACTCATTTTCAGAAAACATTAGAATTATCTTTACAGAATAATTTAAAAAAATATAATATCTGAAAAAAAAACAAAAAAATCACTTGTATTCAAAAATAATAATAGATGCTTATAAAAAGTAAATCACTTAGAAAAAATAATCATAAAAAATCTTAGTATTATCAAGAGTAATACAAGAGGAAAATTACATTCAAAAAAGCAGCTTGATGTTAAAAGGTTTTTTATTGGGAAAGGAGGAGAGAAAACTTTATATCTCTTACCCTGAGTATTGTGAAAGGCACAAACAAAAATAGAACAAAACTAGTTTGATGTGAAATTGAAAAGAAACTTACATTTATTAAATGACACAAAAAGCAATAAAATATAAATTTACAATACAAGTTTGTAGAAAATTTTCCATTGTGCAATAATTAGACAAGATAACAAGTTATAATAACAATATGTTAGGCTCATAAAAATTAAAAACAATTATACACCTTTCAAAAAATATTCAGTTACATTCAACAGACGAAAATTTTTGAGAAGGATGGCAAATTCACAAGCATTGCTTATAGCTAAATTCAATATTGAGATAAATTTTGTTTCTTTTACAAAAGTTCAAATCAGGGTTAATGCATCTAATTTTATGAATCTTCTTTCAGCTTTCTTTCAGCCTCTGTCAGTGGCGTGATTTGCTTTTAGTTTTACTTTTTCTTCTTCCTTTTATCATTGCAGTAGCTGTCAGTGTTGCCCACGTGAATGCTGAAACCCTTCATCCTCTTGTTCTCCTAGCAGCTGCTGGTGACTTTCACCTGTGACTTTCACCTCTTCTGCTCTCTGCCTTGCAGCAGCCAGACAACGCCCTTCACATGTGAAAACTAAATTTTTTCTCAATCTGACTTCTTAAATTGTCATGAATTGGCTTCGAGTTGAAACAGAAATTTGATATCTTGGGTTCATAATTTACTTTTCCATTGGCTAAAAAATTGCAAAATGAATCTCTTAAATGTGACCACATTGTAAATTTTATTTAGGCAGGTAAATTTTATTTTTGAGACCATAAGACTTAAGCCTCTTTTCTAACAAATTTGCAAACCAAATTTTACACACATTTTTAAAAACCATCAGGCTTAATTTTGGCATCAGATTTGAGCCTCACATATACAAAGTTTTAGGCATCAAATTTAATTATTTAATTAATTATTATTATACAATTTAAACTTCTTTTTCATTATAAATTTTTATAAAGGAGAAGAAAGATTAATTTTTTGAAATCATTTTTGTTAAACTCACTTTTTTATGTACTCTAGAGGTATTCTTTTAGGTTACTCAAAACTATGAAGAATATCTCTATAACATGTAAGAAAATAAGAAAATACAATTAATATTTTTAAATTATTCACTTAAATATGATGGATATTACTTTTGATTAGTAAGGGAATAATCTTCACCTTGAAACAAAGAAAAATTATGGCTATTTACTTGTACATAATCCTAAAACATTTATACTGGAATTAAACATTAAAATTGATATAAGATGCCAAAAATTTATGAATACAGCTTCAGCATATCTAAATAAACTTGCTGTCACAACACTGTAAAATGTTCAAATGTTTAATTGCATGAAATTGCTGGATGGCAAATTAGAGGGACTACTAACTGGATAATAATTATTAAAATTCTCAGAAGAATGGGTGAGAGAAAAATGGAAAAAGAAATGAGTTAATAATTATGTTTTAAACAATAAAATGAATTTAAGAACAGAAGAGAACTGAACTTAGAATTAATTAGCAAAGATTCAGCAAAATTGAGTAAAACCAAAGTTCCCCACCCATCCCACTGATAAGAGGAGACATTTTTTAGTCCTGAGAAATTAAATTCAGGGTTTTGTTTACTTTCATACTATCTGTCCAAATGGCATATATTATTACTGAAAAGAGTGATCCAAATTCTCTAAAAAAAAAAAAAAATCCCAAATATGGGGTTTGTTTATATTGATACTGTCAACTCAAAACACAATCATCCTTACAGAAAGAAAGGACAGAAAATTCTTAAACAAAGAGAGAGCTATGTATTTATTAATGTCAAATTTTTGGGGAGGGACTGAGTGTCACCTATATAAACAGATCCACAAGGCCCCAGAAAGTCACAGAGAATTCGGCCCAACAAAGAGAGTTGTCAGAGATCTGCTACAGTAACATGAACAGACCTGCATTTATGTGGCGAAGGCAGTCTTGCTTCCACTATTTTATAGTGATTAATACTAGATTTCTCAAATCATCATCCAGCAGGGGGAGAACTTAATCTCTCAGTAGAGACATTTTATTTCCCAGGTTTTTTCTATATTCAATAAACCTGTTGTTAGAGTGATCAACAATGTTTGTCATTTTATTGAAGGACTTCTTATTCCAGTCCTGGTACTCAATATCATCCTTGGATACAAAAAGAAAAAAGCAAATTACCATAGCCATAGACATGAACTATGCTGTGCAATATGTAATACAAATTACACAGTGTTTTAGCAATAATTACTGATTGCATTTCTAGGGTAAAATAACAACAAAAAAGGAGAAATTTAGAACTTTGTTGAAAAAATTCATAGAATATATACTGATTGCTGGCACCTGTCTAGTTATTCTCATCTTGGATTTAGTAAAGTTTAACCTTCATGCCCACAACAAAAATGGTTTGTCAAAACTAAGCAGTTATCCCTTGACACCTCTCTTAGCCTTACTGTAGTGTACAATGTACATTTTTATACTCATTCGGTAATGTTTATTGTTTTAAAAAGCGAAATAGATTTATTTTTGCGTGTGGTAGCAACTACAAACATTGAATGACGGAAGACAATAACAAATAAAAATGAAGATTAGAGTAAAAAAATATATTGCCAAGTTTCAAGTTTATTTTCGATAAAGAAAATACATCGACAAAATAAAAACATTACAGTGCATTAGGTAAAAAATTACGACTTGAAACCACTTTTGACATTTAGAATAATAGGCAACTATAAAATTTAAAAAATGTACTACTTTAACTTTTCTTTTCCAAAGTGGATTTTTGGGGGAGTGAGAAACTTATCAAACATTAATAATTGTAAATGTTAATCTTAAGCTAACCCAGTGATTTTTTTAGATAAGAAGGGTTACACAGAGACCACAGGAATGGGGTAAATAAAAAAGGATACACTGATGAGCGAAAACATTTTTTACGATCATCGACATACGGTATGACAGCTAAGTGTCATAAATGTGCATGCCAGAGTACGAGCTGGAAGCTAAGCATGCCTCAAGTACTTCATTCTGATGTGTCGTACGTAGCAGTTATGGGCAAGAAAAATTGAGCGGACAAATTACTATGGACAGAAAAGTAAAACTAGGTTACCGTTAGAACATTTCTGAAATTACACAAGGCCAGCTGTAAGCCGATTGTTTCCAATTGAACCCAAAGCAGTCTCCACGTTAGATTTACTTTCGTCTCGGCGAGTACACAAAACTGGAACCCGACAAAGTCACAAAATCGTTTTTAATTGTGTTCCGCACCTCCTATGGTCGGCTTTGATATTGGAAACTTATCTTTCGAAGACGCTAGTAAAAAAAAAAGTCCGTTTTCACCGACTTAAAAAAAGTTTTTCATTTCATTGTTCTCCTTTGAACTTGAAATATTAAATTTTTACGTGAATTGTAGCTATTGTAACTTTACTTTAAAATAAATAATGTGCTTATTTAAGTGAGAAAATATGCATTTAAAGTAAACTTTTAAAGTAAAAGCATCGTGAAGTAAACAATTGAAATTATTAATGAATATGTAACATTAACAAGTTTCGCTTTTATGGTACTGTAGAGTGTTTTTAACAAAATCAGTTTTTAACGAACCAAATAAATAAAATTTGTGAATCAACGAATGAGAGCACTTTATTTACACGCCTCCAGGCACACACCCTCCTGAATTCTCGACAGCTCGTCAGTGACTATTCAAAATAAAAACAAGTGTATCTCAACAAATTCTGAAAAACAAACATTATCCCACTTGTGAGGGTGGGGGGAGCAGAAATCAAGTAAAAATGCATTACAAGTTAATAAATAAAAAACTAGTCTTAGCGAAAATAACCGGGGAAAATGTATTATTATCGTACACTTCACTGTGTGTACTACAGAAAGAGAAAGAGCAGAAAATAGAAATTCTGTCAACAAGGGTAACGATGATGTAAAAACTGGTTTACAAGAAGTAAAAAAAAGATGATAGGTTTGTGATTAATTTGAATAATTATCATAAAAGGAAAAATATCTGAAGCTATTTTACAAGACATTATCTGACTTTTATTTTTTTAATATGTTTAATTTTTCTTTTGAAATTCTGTCGAAACGGGTTCATTCTGCCACGTAAGATCCTATTTTATTAGGGGAAGAAACAGATCGTGATCCGTTTTTTCCCCTGATAAAATACTATAGGATCTAACGTGGCAAGATGACGTTTGTTGTCACTTTGCTGACATTATTTTAATTTAACTTATGGTTGAATAACCATAAGTTAAAATAATCTTTTCTTCAGAGATAGTCCTAAGATGTGTAATTTTTTAACTTAAAGTAAAAATATAAAACGAAAAAACAAAACGGTAACTAACAGCACAACTGAATTTAAGTTTGTATAATAAAAATAATTTTTTTTTTATCTAAAAAAATAAATAAAACTAAAACAAACATTATCAAATGAAAAATAAAAACGATATATTTTTTTACCCTTCAATTCCAGCATAATAGTGCATTGATTTATCCGACATAATGAGGAAATATCTGTCCACAAGTAAAGGCAGCAATGGGAGATTTTGATCAATGACAACAAAAGAACGAACCAATCGTGTCCAACAAAAACTGCTGACGTGCGGGTTGGTTGGGTAACAAGAGTCAAATAATCAAAATCAAAATAAATTTTTAAAAAATCCCAAATCCTAACTATATTTGGAATAACCAATCTAGTAAGAAAACAGGGAAAAATTCAAGCATACTTAACTAACACATTTTCTTTTATTTTTATGAAATAAATAAATTTTTATGGAATAGTTATTTTCAAAAAGAAACTATTTTTCTCAACTCAAGTACCCAAGTTGACCATCTCTGCACCCTTGATCTTAGTCATCTAATTAATTAGGTAACTCCATGAGATCGCTAAAAAAGAGCATATGATGAAAAAGATGCCAAACTTGACGAAAACAAAATTTTATCGTCTAAATCAAAATGTTTATGTTAGTTATTATGAAGAGGAAAGGCCAAAGTTTTTTTTAAATTATTTAAAAAAATTTTTCCTTCTTTTTAGAACGTTCTAAATTTTAATTAAAAAGACCTTGTTTCTCTTTGTATCACCGGAACTAGTAAAATAACATACAATTTTTAGCACGTTTTTTTTTTTTTTTGTATAACAGACATTAATTTGGAAAATCTTGCAAAAATAATTGTCGGATATTAATGAAACTTTCAGAAACTATTTATAGATGATGGCAATAATTATAAATATTTTGTTTTTATTAAAGTCATGGTAGAAATTTTTTTATATATTTATTACCCCCTCTATTACTAATTTTATGGAAACTAGAAATTCGATCGAATCCAGTTTAGTGATTACAATAGTTAAAAGCACAAGGTTTGAGGAATGCAAATCATGTTTTTGTTTTTTTTAATTGGACCCTCCCATCAGAAACTCGGCTCTGAATTGTAACATACGAAAACTCAATAAAACAAAGATATTATTTAATTTCAAATGCTTTTATTTGCTTTTTTTTTGTTTTTTATGAATATGGACAATATTTTCTGAAAGCAAAAAATTTTCGATTGAAAATTTAATTTGAGAACAACAATTTCACAAGTTCACATTCTCGCTTTTTTTTTAATCCTCATTCCAACCTCTTTTTTAATTTTAAAAATGGATCCCAAGATAGATCATTCTTATCAGAGGTAAGAATATATTTTCTGACGAAGGAGAAGATCTGGAAAATAAAAATGAAACCACATTATTCTTTAATGTTGCCATAAAGTCTGGGAGAAACCTCACAATGACCTTCACTTCAACCTGTTTTAAGTTGAGTTGAAACTGGCTCCCAGAGTTAAGAATTTGTTTTCCCCTGACCAATAGAAGGCCAGGAAATTTATTTTCAATTTTGGAGGAAAAGTTGATTTTTCCATCAGAGAACCAAAACTCCATAAATTTGGAGAATCTTGCCTATTTTTGATAGTGAATCTTGTCTGTTAGGTCGACATTTTTCCCAGAAATGAAACATCAAAATTACTAATAAATGGCTGTCAAGAACAAACATCGGTCCACTATTCAAGACCAATCCAAAGCTATCCCTTCACCATTTTCTGATAGCCCACTGGACTTTCAAGTCATCGACCTAAAAATTAAGCTGAAGGATTCCTTTATCTTATGAAAAATTTTCAACTCTACAAGAACTTATTTTAATTCTGAACCTTTAAGAATAATATTTTTAGATAAATCAATCGTAAATGCGAAAGATATGAAAGTTAATCGCTTAAAAAAATAAAAATTGGTGAAAGAAATATTTTGAAAATAACGAGGTAAATAATTTTTTCACTTTCTTTCTAATTACTAATCGTCCTTTTATCCCTTTACCTTTTTTTTTCACGTAATGTTGTCAATAAACATTTTCATCACCTTTTTTTTAGGTTACCGACCTGGAGTTTTTTTTTTTTCAAATGCGCCTAAAAAGAGTTTGTCCTTTTACTAAGCTTTTTTCAAAATATTTAAGCCTAAACATTATAATGTTTGATTTTCTTAAAATAAATTTTTTTTCAAAATGATAATTAATTTTTAAAAAAATGAATTTTTAAAACATTATTTGTTTTTTTCTTTAAATTTAAAATTTTTTATATTTGATTGATTATCTGTCAATTTTTACTTCTTAAAAAAAAATTTTTTTTTCGTTTCGGTCCTTATAGAAATTAAAAAATTTTAAAAATTTAACTAAATTGTATTATTTTTAAATCTTCTGATCAATAATTAAAAATAAACATTTATAATGAGGCTGTAATTATTTTCATCAAGTTTGGCCAATCTTTTTGTCAAACTTGCGTTATTTTTTGCATTTCATTCTCCACTGTTAAAAATATTTTTAAAGAAACACTTGAAAAATAATTTATATTTTTCAATTTAACTGTTTTATTGAAAAAATATCAGTTCATCTTATAAATTTTAAGATCTAATTCTTTATCTTAATCTTTATTTTAAATTTTTTTGGATAAATGAAATATCAAAATTAATAATAAAATTTTTGTAAATATTTTAACACAGTAAAATTTAACCAATCTCCATATAATTATAAACCATCAGAAACTCAAAAATTTCAAAACCCCACAAAAATTGTCGAAAAGAAATCTGTCTTTTCAAGGGATTTCTGAGACTCTCCCTTCAAATTTTTTCATTGTCCAAATTTTCTCCTCAAAATATCACTTTGATAACAACTTTTTCGGACCATTTTTTCCATGTAGTTTTTTATCAGCCATCCAATCCCATTGATATTACAAGAAATTGGCCAAATGTTTAATGGATTTATCTTTCATTAGGCTCAATCCAAAAAATGTTTTATAACCCCATATGAAATTATTTGGTGCCAGTATTTCTTGAGACTCTTTGGTCAGACTTCATCTGGGGATCTTCTCTGCCTCCTTAGGGTTAAATAACAAATAAATATAATCTATATTTAATTTCACATTAAATACAATTGAATCTGTTCTTTTTAGTATCCTTTTCAATTCACATCAAAATCCTTTTGCAAAAGAAAAGTTTTTTTATTATTTTTTTTTTTATTTATTTAATTTATTTTTTTGAAAAAATTAATTTTATTTATTTATTGGTTTTTATCATATTATTATTATTAAAATTTTATATTTTTTTTTATTTATAAAAATAATTATTTTCTTATAAGTTAAAATTTCGTTCTTAAAATATAAGGTTTTCAGTTTGTTTTGTTAAATTTTTTAATAATCCCGTTTAAAACATACTTTAATAAAAAGTCATGTTCTTCAAAAATAATAAAAATTTTTATCTCCAAATAAAAAATAGAATAGACCATTTGTCAAACTTACTTTTTAATTATATAAGTTTTTTATCTCATATATAGAATACGATTTAAATAATTCAACAAATGATTCCGAAATTCTTTTACAAATACATATTTAAAAAAAGTATAAATCAAATATAAATAGAGCAAAAATATTAATTTATTTTCTTAAAATTATAATCTTCTTCTTTTAAAAAATTTTTTTATAATAGCCATTAAAGACAAAGATTTACACAGAATGAAATAATAACATCTCTATTGAATAAAAAATATTCTGATTGAAGAAAATCCAGATCAAACATCCCATCGCTATACTATAAAAGAGACATTTAAACAAACAAATATATTTATTAAATACAAGTATATGATAATTAAAAAAAACTTGATTAATCGTATTTTTTTATTTTCTATTATATAATGTTTTTTAAAAATGACTATTAATGTTTTTTAATTTTCAATTTATTTTTTTAAATAAAATTTAAAAAATTGGAAAAAAAACATTGATTTATTTATTTTGTTTTATTTTTTTATTCGGAATAATTTTTATCTATCTAATAAAACAGCTTAGATCCGGTACAACATGGACACATTTGAAGGAAAAATTAAATATTGATTAGGTTTCAACTTAAAAATGCACAAAGATAACTGAATTTGGTTCACTAATTATCAATTCGGATATCTACTACTAAAATTAAAAACTATAACAAACATCAAATTATACATAACAAATATTTAATATATATATAAATATATATATATATATATATATATATATTTTTTGTAAAGTTTAAATCAATGTCAGTGTACCAGATATCTTAAATATTAAATTTGACACTATATGGTGAATTATTTTCTTATTCATGAAACATACTGTCCTAACTAAGTTAAAATCAAAGAAGATAAATTGCGAATTTTCAAAACTTTATTTTTAACAATTTATATATATATATATATATATATATATATATATATATATATATATATATATATATATATATATAGAGAGGAAAGTAAAAATTATCCGGGATAGTAGTTTGTAATTATCGGAATGATTTAATTGGCAGAACCATTCAAATTGCAAAAAACATTACATTCCTTATGTGATGATACCCTTGGGAAAAATAATTCCATTTCTCGAGTTCCTCCAATATTATCGTCAGCAGGACAGACTGGATGTTGACGGGCGTCATGATTACCAACTTCTAATTTTTCTTTATTTTTAAACTCAGTCATTCAAAAACCTGCTGAGGGTCTTTTAATGGTAGTTATGTAATGCATTATTTCTCTGTATTCAAATTTTCAAAATCGAACAACTTTTCCTAAATCGGACCATTGTGCAATGTTCACATTTTGTCATAATGTTATAAAAACAGGGCATGTTTGTTTCCTAAGAAAATCTATTTTACCTCAAAGTCAAAATCGCTTCGTTTTTTAGTATTAAAATAAAGCATATATAACATATATATATATAAAAAATTAAAAATTTTATATATAATCCAGTTTTAATAACATTTTTTATTTTAACATTTTTTTTAAAATTTCGATCAAGGGGTCAAATTTAGAGAACATATTTATAAATAAAGATTTGATTTAAAATTTTGTTTTTTTCAACACAGTAATCGTTTGGCATGTGTTCAAAAACCTATTACAGTCAAAAGCAAAATTTTAATTATAAAATCAAATTGAAAATTGAATTGGTTCTTAACTTC